TCGGGGCCAACTCAATATTGAACCCAAAGGACTAAGACTGGAATGCCATTAAAGTTCATGTTCGTGTAAAGGCAGGCATCCCATTACTTTTGGCAATACAGTATAGTGTATTTCAAAGCATTTTTTTTTTACTATCGGCAAATCAAAATTGTAAATATGTTGGATAGGTGCAGTGTGGCATGGCAGGGAGTAAGTACACAGAATCCCCTGGTGTGTGGCTCAGCTCTGGTCTGGGTGAAGTTGGGGTGTCTTCATCACTGTGCTTTTGCTTACCTGACACCAGCGCCCTCAAGTTCAAGCCGCGGTTCCAGCTTCCTGGTACCAGTTCCATTGCCCTAGCAGTCCTTATTCCACCTTTCAGGGGAGGTTAGATGGGAATTATGCAAGAAGCCACCATCATCATCTCAAGCTCCTCATACTTGTATGTTACAGCCAGTCTTGTGATCCAGGCACCCATGACAGATCGTGTGGCTAAGTTTGTGATCTCGCATTTCTCCAGGTGTAGTTAAGGTCGTGAAGCTGTACCCAAACAGAGGGTAAAGTGCTAATTACTAGAATTACCTGAGTCCTCAACTAGATGGTAAATGGTTATGTACAGATGCTCACCAAACTTTCTAAATCATTCAATGGCCAACATTGGCTATGGGACCACTAACTACAGCCAAAGCATTTTGAGAGAGACAAGCCTTGAGCAGGGGCGGACTGACCATTTGGAAACTCGGGCACTGCCCGAGGGCCCGGGGTCAGTAGGAGGCCCCATGAAATGCCCCTGGTACCTTTTTCATAGGCTTTTTTGAGTTTGGGCAAAGACACGGGGGCCCCATGATCCTCTATTGCCCAGGGGCCCCATGAGTTGTCAGTCCACCCCTGGCCTTGAGCAGTCAATGTTAATAAAATCAAGACAGAATGCACTAAATGAATGCACTAAAGGATCTGTGTTAAAGTTTGATGTAGACTAATGTCACCTGAAAGCACTAAAGTTAGCTGCCTTCATTGCTGTTAGGAGATATTTCCCCAAAACATTGCCTGTATTGGATGCTCTTGACCACTGAATGTTTCAATACGTTTTTGTTTTTTTTTCAAAAAAGATTTTTATTAGAAGCATTCCTAACAATACATGTACAGACGGAAATCAAAGGTCGGACATACCACTGTATGGCACTTCCCGTGTCGCAGACGGGTCAAATCACAACAGGCAATACAAAACATACCATTGTAAAACATTGTGTCAACGTAATATTACGATCCAGGATTCAATACGTTTGTTAAGTGAGATGAACCTTTGTGTGCACTCCTCTGTACACATCCAGGAGTTTATTATGAACTGTGTGTCTGTGTGGAGTCAGCCATTTTGGTAGAGGCAGGACGTTGCTGCCTCACCTGATGACTAGTAATGTGGTGGGGTAATGATGGAGAAGCGTCAGGAGAGGTGGAGGAAACACAGATCCACAGAATAAATGAAAGAGTAGCAAGGAGAGCCTTGCATTGCAGGTCCTCAGGTACAGCTTAATCTCCAGCATGGAGGACATTGATCAGCTCACTCATGACATCACTAAATCTCACTCCAAATCTGGACACACTGCCTTATATGATCTCATATAGTAGATATAGAGCTATGAGTCTACAGAAGAGGAGTGCATAAGTAAAGGCACTGTCCTGTTATTTTTCAGCATAACATAAAGACAAAGGGTATTGCTTAGGCACAACTAGCATTTCTAGATGTTCTCATTAAGGCAATGAGGGATTAATCTTGGGCATAAAATTGTGTCTTGGGACAGAGCAGGGCATGACCTACAGCAGGGTTTCTCAACTAGGGTTCCTCCAGAAATTGCTAGGGATTCCTTGAGCAATGAGCAATTTCAGACTGATATACCGTATTTGCCGGCATATAAGACGACTTTTTACCCCTTGAAAATCTTCTCTGAAGTCGGGGGTCGTCTTATACGCCGGTATACGGCATACTGACACTTTTTAGGGGGGCGGCGCGGTGCCGCCGCCCCCCCTTCCAACGGAAGGGACACTAAGTACAGGGGTGGGCAGGGGCTGTTTCTTACGTGGCTCCGGTCCCACGACGATCCGGTCCAAGAAGCGCGGCTGCTCCTTCAGTTCGGCCACTGGATGTTCGGGCGGCTGCTTGGCTCCGCCTCCTCACCGGTGATTGGCCGCCAGAACTGTAGCTCAGGAAAAGCACACAGGCGGCCAATCACCGGCGAGGGGGCGGAGCCGAGCGGGCCCGCGAAAATCGAGTGCAGGAGCAGCAGGTAAGTCTTCAGTGTAGATGTGCTGCTGCAACCACATATGCTGGCTGCAGTAGCACCATACTAGAACAGGGTCAGCAAGTGTAATTGGTGTCAGTGGGAGGAATAGTGCCCCATCATTGGTGTCACTGATACCAATGATGGGGCACTATTCCACCCCCCACTGACACCAATGATGGGGCACTATTCCATCCCCCACTGACACCAATGATGGGGCACTATTCCACCCCCCACTGACACCAATGATGGGACACTATTCCTCCCACTGACACCAATGTTGGGACACTATTCCTCCTACTGACACCAATGATGGGGCACTATTCCCCCCACTGATACTAATGATGGGGCACTATTCCTGCCACTGATACCAATGATGGGCACTATTCCTCCCACTGACACCAATGATGGGGCACTATTCCCCCCACTGATACTAATGATGGGGCACTATTCCTCCCACTGACACCAATGATGGGGCACTATTCCCCCCACTGATACTAATGATGGGGCACTATTTCCCCCACTGATACCAATGATGGGCACTATTCCTCCCACTGACACCAATGATGGGGCACTATTCCCCCCACTGATACTAATGATGGGGCACTATTCCCCCCACTGATACCAATGATGGGGCACTATTCCTGCCACTGATACCAATGATGGGGCACTATTCCCCCCACTGATACTAATGATGGGGCACTATTCCTGCTACTAATGCCAATGATGGGGCACTATTCCTGCCACTGATACCAATGATGAGGCACTATTCCTGCCACTGATACCAATGATGAGGCACTATTCCTGCCACTAATACCAATGATGGGGCACTATTCCTCCCACTGACACCGATGATGGGGCACTATTCCTCCCACTGTTTTGCATTGGAAGCGGGGTAGTCTTATATGGCGAGTATAGCCCAAACACTACATTTTAGCAGGAAAAGTAGGGGGTCGTCTTATACGCCGGCAAATACGGTAGGTAACCCCGTTTTACCTTAGTCCAATGTCATTCTTCCCAGTGACCATCAAATGAATGTACTATGAGTTGTAGATTTATTAATTATTAGTTGGGGTTCCCAGATACCATTAAATTATTTTAAGGGCTCCTCCGTGTTGAAAGGTTAGGAAAGTCTGGTTAAAGCAGACCTAAGGAAGATGGCTTAGCATTCCAGTTAGGCCAGCTTGGACCTCTCCTAGGGCTCCAAGGGGTGAAATAAGTATGTTCCCCACACCATCAGTCACAGAGTCTCCTGAAGAGCCAATGCTGTGGAACTGTGAGATGCCAAGAGGGAAGTCAAAATGAGTACAGAAAGAAATCCACTCTAAGCAGTAAAGCTCGGTCACCTGCCTGTGAGGGGGCAGTGAAGGAGAAGCACATTGGTGAAATAATTATTCTGCTCACTCCTCCATTAAGCAAGCTTTCAGATTTAGATTGAGTGCACTGTACAATGAAGTAGAGGTTATCTAGTTCACGGTGCTGAACCTTCCTTTTCCAGGCTACTATGCAGAAAATTGGAGAAGGCTAATATAAAGACAGATTTAGGCACTTGCATGTAAATGGACATGTACTGATTTTTAATGAAGACATCACTTCATTAAAATATTAAATATTCATGAAATATTTAATGTATTATATTGATGGATATACTGATCATTTTGATATGCAGTTTTCAGTTGGGGTAGCCATTGCTTATACTATTTATTTTTAATCTGCTTATTCTGAATTGTTCCAATTTGTGTTCCCATTTTAACCAAATTTGCATTAAAACAGATATTAATATACATCACATGTGTAGCACCCTCCTAGTGTAGTGTAGGTTGCTAGGCAGGGGCGGACTGACAACTCATGGTGCCCCCGGGCAATAGGGGATCATGGGGCCCCTGTGTCCTTGCCCAAACCTAAAAAAAGCCTATGAAAACAGGTACCAGGGGCATCTCATGGGGCCCCCTACTGACCCTGGGCCCTCAGGCATTGCCTGAGTTTCTAAATGGTCAGTCCGCCCCTGTTGCTAGGTTAATTTACTTGGCTCCACTGTAACCAGAAGATCAGAGGTTTATTATTCAGGGTTGCTCAGTGTAATGCTGCTGCTCTGATTGCTTCCACCTGTCCTCTAGGATTCTAGAGGTATAGTGGGAGGAAGGACAGGGTATGCAGCCTGAATATTTATGGGACTCCAGCCAATCCCTGGGTAGGTGTACCTGGGTCTGAGGCCTGAATATCATGTGCAGAGTTTCTGGGTCCAGTCCTGCAGTAGGAGACCCATGTGAAGGGAACTCTGCCCCTGGTGCAGAACATTAGAGAAGCTATCAAGAAGATACACAAGTCTCAGCTAGGTGTAGCTGGAGGACCTATTCGCAAGCTTACGTTTGGGGATCAAGTTGAGTCTGGAGAAGCTCACTGGAGAGAGACCAGGAAGAAGTTGGTGAGAAAGAGTCCAACTGTCCCATAGTGATGTGAGTCTACATCTCCCTCACTAGGAAGAGCCTGGTGGATATTGGCAGGAGGGAACCAATGATCCTGTGGCTTTATGAGTAAGAGATCCCAGTGCTGAAGAGTAGTGAATGTGTGCAGCTTTGAAACGCTGGAAGGAGTACTAGTAATCATTAGCATGGAGATCCTGCAGGACATTTCTTTTCTGTGCAGTACAGCCTGAAAGTTAAAGTGTTGCTTAACCGCGGACCCTGCATTCACTATATCTGATCTCTCTGGACCCTGCATTCACTATATCTGGTCTCCTCAGACCCTGCATTCACTATATCTGGTCTCCCCGGACCCCGCATTCACTATATCTGGTCTCCCCGTACACTGCATTCACTATATCTTCTCTCCCACAGTACACACAACATGGAAATGCAATTATTTTCGCAAATATAAACTGATAAATACCTTTTCTCATGGGCAGTTAGAGCAGTCTTGTGACTTCTATCAGTGTCCAGCACAGCACTGGTTGAAGCTTGTAGGAGGAGTTTTCTTTCTGCTCTAGGAGCATGCAGAACCCCTGACCCTCTGTCTGGACAGTGCTGATTGGTCCTGTGCTGATGACATGCACTCTCACAAGAAAAAAAAAAAAACCTCTCTAGTAATACATACTAAACTGAGCAGGTATCAGGAGATAAGTTGTGGACATTTGAACAAGAGGAGGAGCAGAGAAGTCAGGATCAAACTGCCTTTTTACACAAAGCAGAGGATTAATTCCTTAGATTCCTCAGTGAGTATAACAAGCATGCTTTACTGCATATACAAACTGATTTTACTGTTGTGGGTTTAATGGGGGATCCCATGCTCCCTATCCTTATCCAAGTTCAACGTTCCCAATAACCCAAAAAGACTCTTCTTTGGAGCCAGTGGAAGAATAAAGAAAATGCTGTGTCCCGGGCTGTGTATGCTGTAAGTGGGGAAATAGGACTAAGTTCACCAGCAACTCTTACGGAGGTGTGCTACATATGTATTCAAACTGGCCAAGACTTTTAAAGAGGGACAATTTGGATGCAGTTTGCCAGCTTGAACATGGACTGCGATATATTAAAACCAGGAAAATCAAGAATCCCTTATTTGTATGTAAGGGTTGCTAAAAGCAAGACACAGGATTATGCCAAAAGCATTCCCCCGTTGGCAAGTCTACCCTGGATCTTCCTAAAATCGGTGCCAACTGTAGAATGGTAATGGAATAACAGCCATACAAATTGATGACAGCACAAGCTTAGTGAACAAGCTGCAAACATTTTGGAGGACAAGGCAGACAGGTAGACCTGCACCCACACTACTGGTCTGACAGGGGGTTATTGACCAAAACTGGAACCTGCAAAATCTGGTGTAGTTCTGCATAGAAACCAATCAGTTTACAAGGTTTTATTGCCAAAACTTAATTGAACAAGCTGAAGTTAGAAGTTGATTGGCTACTGTGCACAGCTGTACCAGATTCTGAGTGCTTCAGCTTTAGTAAGTCTCGCCCACAATGTCCTGGCATGCAACCCAAGATACCCAAGACAAAGCAAGTCCATATCAGTGTATAGATGTCTTGCATTACCCCCTTAGAACTTTCTGAAGGTTTGGGGCCCCCTATATTCTTGCACAGCCAGGCAACACGCATCTTCACATAGATTTGCATCCAGGAGTCAATAACCAGTCCTTGATCTTTGTTTTTGATGATTTTATTAGGGGATTGCAACTTGGATAGGGTTAGGGGTGTACTGGATGCCCAATGGAACTGTAACTGAGGACAACTTCCTGTACAAGTCTTTACACAAAAAACCTCTTTGTGGAGCACTAGCTGTCACGATCGCAAGATTGCCGCCACCAACATGCGACAATCTCACGACCGCTGAAACCAATATGTCACGATCGCGGCGTCAGACCCCAGATCTTCTCACCAAACTCGTGACCGAAGGACCGGGCCGATCTAAAACCGCGATGTGACGTGCGTAACAATGCCACACCCAGCTGCACCCTACACAGCGATTTTCCAGCTAATGGTCAATGTGCTGTCAGCCTGAGCGATTGTTACTGGGTTAATTACGCAACTAACCCTTCACTGCCACCACCCCTATTTGTACAGAGAAAGGGGAAAACTCTCTTTAACATATATACACTGTAATGGTTGAAAAGTCGTCTGTCCAATGCGGTCACCGCAGGCCGATTGGGCAGAGGATTAAACAAACACAGTAGCGTTCTCTTTAGAGGCAGGAATTCGTAAATTGCAATTAAGTGCTTTAGAAACAGTTTAACACTTTCAGAAAGAAAGATTTATTACTAAAAGAGTCAAACAGATGCAATAAAATATTTACAGAAAAAGATGTAACTAAGATATATATATATATATATATATATATGTATGTATATATATATATATATATATATATATATATATATATATATATATATATATATACACACACACACACACACACAAAGAACCATAGCACAGCAGAGAGATAATAGGAAGGATGTTAAAGGGTTAAGTTACTTGCCATTTAAGCCCTTGATGTAAGCAGATCCAAGTTGCAGAGCAGAATGGTGCTTTGATCTCCTGCTGTTACGTTGGAAAAAATGGGAGAAGTCTTCAACTTAAATTTTTAGGCCTGCTACCTGTGTTTTAAAGTCCCCCAGCAGGGGGTGGCTCTGAATAACTGACCAATTTAGGGAGGGATCGTCGGGCGAACTCTGAATTAGAACCAACATCTGTCATAATCCATGATATGAAACATAGGGGACAAACTGACTTGAGGAATGTTCATTTAATTCTGTCACATACGCTGCTAGGTTTTATGAGGTTACAATCTCTTTCAATTTCTGGGAAAAGCTGCCTTATCTCTGTTACAAGGTGAGAGATTACACATGTTCTCTTGGGGCAGCTAAGCTCTGTCTCTCTTGGGGGACTTTGTAGCTCTGGGCCCCCTGCTGCTGTACCTACCAGTGACACTTTTAACACACACGCATCTGTCACTGTGCCTCTCAGGAAGGGAGGGGGAAGGAGAATGAGAAATGAGAGACACAATATATACTCCGTACCAAGATGGAGGTGCCTACAAAATGGTTGAACTGCGTACTTCACTGTGTTTTTTGCGCAGTTTTTGCGACACTAGCCAGCATCTCCTTTTGCACCACTGCAGACCCCAAATAAATCCCCCCCAGTTGTCTGGAGGAAATCCCTGAGCAGGGGATCCAGTGCTTGCCACTTTAAAGTAAGACAGTCCCAGGTAGTTGCTAATCTGGTTTCCCACCAGAGTATTCCTTCCCCTATCTGGCTTAGGGGGTGCTGGTTTATTCACTCTGTCCTTTTCCTCTATTGCCAGTGGGTCGGTGGCTGCTACCAGGCCTTCTATGCTGCTTCTTCCCTGACTCACAGGTGGTCCTCTCTCAGGTGGCCAGGGAAGTCTTGAGTTCTCCACCTTCCAAGGTTCCTGCTTGGAGGTGAGCCCCTTTCCCATCCGGGCCCCCTCTCAGGCTTCTGCATCTTTTCCTCTCTCACATTGTCCACCTGTACTCTCCTGCTGCTGAGCAGGCTTGGTTACTCTTAACGGCTGTCCTGGCCCCTTGCCAAGCCTCCTGTTGGGGATTGGCCAGGATCCTCTAAGAGTACAGACCAGCCACTCCTCATCTCTGCCCACTGCTACTAGATCTTTCTCCAAAGTTCTAGAGCAGGGGGAAATCCCAGAGAGCTGGTGTAACGGACCGCCTGACAGCACCTCTATCAGTCCCCTGGTAGAGCCTTCCCAGAGTGCGGAGTCTAAGCACCAGAGCACTTGTTCACCAGGGCCCCTGATGGTGGGGATGGACTTGGAGCGCTCCGGTACCAGGTCGCAACTACCAGGTATCTCCAACAGGGGTAGAGGAGTCTGACAGGGGCTCCAGAGAGCTAGGAGTCTGATGTAAGGGAGCCTAGTGATCCCTGCGGGATGGGTGGATGGATGAGCTAAATCAGAGTCATGCAGGCAGGGTCGGCAACTGGCGGATCGGTAAGGTACAAAACGGTAGGCAAAGGATAGTCAGGTCACACGCAGGGTCAATACCAGGAGGTCAGATCTAAACAGGAACATCCGGGAGCAGAGTCAGGCAAGCCAAGGGGTCAGGACGGGAGAAGGCAACAAGGTCAAAACAATCCAGATCAGAAGTACTCACACACAGGTAACAGGATACAAAGACCATTCGGCAACAAGTGTCTGTGCAGGGCTAGCTTAAATAGCCCGCCCTGCACCTGACAGGCGTAGCCTGGGTCCTAGTGCCTGCCTAGTACTGTCCAGACGATGGGTACGCCTGGGTCCTAGTGCCCTGCTACCTATACGTCTCGGCAGACACCTACGCATGTGTAGACCCATGCGTCGTGATGGTTCCTGACAGCTGGTCTACAAAGTCTCTCAGCTCTGACCTAAATTTGACTCACATAGCTATCACACCCAGGCTGCTACTCAGCCTCCGTCTAACAATTAGAGCTAGAGCTCCCCCTAGCTGACTGGGATGCGGCTACAGATGATTAACTGAGTATCTTTGGTGTTAAAATGTGGTCAAGCCCCTCTTGCACAGATATTTTTCTATTTCTTCTACTGTAAAACATTACACACGCCAGACTAAACCAGGAACCAATATGGAGTTGCAAAACAAGAAAAAAAAATACAGAGCATATTAAAATTATCTGAAATTGAACATTTATATAGGTCATCATCGCTTCCTCATAGGACCCCCTAATTGAAATTAAAGAGAAACCCCCCTCTACTTCACATTCTTTTAATGGAGGGCCACTTTGGCTCTTCTCATCATAGCCTACACCTTGGTTTTGTCTCCGCCACTGTAAAGATGAATTCATGTCACTGGACAGGAAAACAGCCTTCCCTAGTAAAGTTCATGCTAAGCAAGTTCACTTGATGGATATCATCCATCAGAGCTCGGGTGAGTGGGACCATCTTGATATGAGTAATGACAATTAGCGGTTCCATTCGCAGCAGTAAATCAAGTGGGTGCACAGTTCACTGCCGAGTGACCTCGGGCAATCATCTCCTCTAGTCTAGTTTACGATGGCAGGAACCACTTGCTGAAACGTTAACAATCAAGACTGTGGAAAGTCATTAACAGATCAAGACGTCATTATTCAATCGAGAATTTTCCTATTATTATTTAAAGTGAATTTTCACCCTTTGAAAAAAAAAAATACTTTGAATAGCACCTAGGATAATAGTGTAGCCTAGCTCCAGTCATTTTATTCAATTTTTCATTAGTAAACAGTTCCTACAACAGTGATCTCACTGCACAGTCGCTAAGTGGTTAGCACTTCTGACTATCAGCATTAGGGTCATTGGTTTGAATCCCAACCATGGTACTACCTTCATGGAGTTTGCA